CCCAAAAACTTTGTCTTCAAAATAAGGGTGCGTCTTATATTCCGAAAAATACGGTATACGTAAAAAGTCTGGTACTTCGTAGATGTTGTAGCAACATGTTTCAGTTTCTCACAAACCATAATGTTAACTTTACAGTTAAGTGATTTCATTTAAGTATTGTGTAATAGACGTACGTGTCTTCTTAATTAAACCAGTTTCTTATGTTGCTGGGACAAGTACGTCTACTGTGACGGTGTAGGAATGTTCTTCTAATACCAGCAGTGAGGCCTACGAGTTGTATGTTTTTTACGGTGGCACCTTGTGCTTGGATTATATCTATCAGCAGGTTAGTTAATTTTATTACTTATTATGCACGTGATTTCAGTTCGTTGTCAAAAGAGAATGATATATTTTGAGTTAAAGATGACATCAGTGTTTTTTACGTTCTTATTAAATACTTGTTTGTTAGTAGTTAAACGCAAATGTACATAATGGGCTATCTGTGATGTGGCCACCAGGGGCATCGAAACCCGGTTTTTAGCGTTATTAGTCTTCAGACTTGCCGCTGTGCCAATGGAGAGCTCAGGATAAATTAATAATCACACTATAGAGAATCTGTCACGTGCACCAGCCCTAAGCAGCTCGTGCCATTAGTCATGAAAATTGTGATTCACGTTTCAAGTATTTTTGTTTCTTGAAGTTAGAAAGTAAAAACTTGTTAATTAATTCTTACCGCCTGACTCTAGATTACTAGAAAAAAATGTTTATTTGGAAATAACTTAGTTAAAAAATTATCCGCTTGTGTCGTGTCTCATTAATTAAATTTGATTTATATCAACATATGAAGAGACCGGTATTGAAAACAATAAATAAAGGTACAGATAAAACAATAACTAGATATACAGACAAAACAAACTTTAATGAATTTGTCCTTTCTCGGGTGTTATTACTATAATATCCCGTGTCTTACCACGTGTTTTTACTATAATATCCCGTGTCTTACCACGTGTTTTTACTATAATATCCCGTATCTTACCACAACACTTAGTATGTACATAAATTGTTCAGAAACTTGTCTTTCTCTGTCTGTCCAGAATTCACGAAAATTGATGACAACTACCACGTCTGTCGTTTCACAGCCGACGTGGTGAACGCTGGTATTGAACGAAAGGCCTCGTTGGCAGCACTTTCACCCATAAGAATTGATGTTTGCTTATTTTCTGCCCTTTTCTCTAAAATCTTATTGTGATTTCCCCCGAAACACTAGGATTTCCGTTTGAGACTCCTGGTGTCGATTTTATTTAATAATCTTATTTCAGAATATTCTTTCCACCGAATGATTATGTATTGAACGCGAGCCTGGCAAGGCCGGGTGGTTATGGGCTCGCAATCTATGGGTTACGGGATCGAAACCCTTTCAACCGTGGTGGTATTATAATGTGACTGTCGACACCATTATTTGTTGACAAATAGTAGTCCGAGAGTTGGCGGTAGGTGGTATTGACTGGCTGCCTTTCCTCTTGTTTATCACTTGAAAATTAGGGACAGATAGCCCTCGAGTTGACTTGCGCGAAAATTCAACAAATAACTATTCAATGCTTGTTGTTTTTGGTAATTAACCTACTCCGAACTTAACCAACATTGTACATCACATGACGGACGGGTAAATTTTTCGGTAAGCGAGTGTCTTCATTATAGACTTAGTCATGCTTCCAAAGCTTTCAACACCCATGGTAACTGTCTCTTAAGTGTGTCATTTCTTGTTCCCGGATGTCTGAGAATCGGCCCGCAATGACTGTTGAGTAAGTAAGATGACTAAGTGGTTTAATAACATGTACCTGCATGTACTCTTAAGTTGTGAAATCCCAGGTTCGATGTCGGCAACACCTAACAACGGCTAACTTAAATATATATATATTTTTTCATAAGTGGTTTTATAAACTTAATTGGTCGTCGTTTGGTGGCGTTGCACAAAAATATCGCGGGTGTTTTAGAAATGATCACTTATGGTAAACAATGAACGTGTAATCATGACATGTGTATGTTTATTATTAAACATGTGTAAGTAAATCATATATTTAGATATTAGGTGAGCCAGGGCTAGACAGAAATGTTTATTGTAGGGTGTAAAGGACATTGTTTCCACGTTAGATGTCGTAACTCTACACTTTTTATGGATTTATATAAATAAATGTCAATATGTATGTTCCTCATAAGTTTCAACATTTCTTGGCCATTAACCACCAAACACGACGCAGTGATACGGGATGTCATGTGGGGGTTGGGAGTTAACCCCCCTATCTAATTTCGGAGAAATACCAAATCAGCACAACTTGACACTGATACAGGATGACACGAGGAAGATCATGAGGGGGTATGACCCCCATCTAATTTCATATTGATAGAATTCTTGAAAACAGTACGTCTTTTCAGTATTGATACCTTTATATATATTTTTTTACACTTTTAATGTTTATTATGTTAATAAATAAATAAATAGAAGCACAATTTCCTATCCTTTGTTACAAAGTTTTTATTTCTCCCATTAAAGAGACAGGTAATGCAGCTAGTCCTCAATAAAACTGTTTTCTCCAACCTGAATTAGTTCATACTAACGTAACATTCACCTTCACTTACAAGGTGGATAAAACAAAGTTTGTTGACCTTATTATGTTGCCCTCTGTATACACTTGTTTTGTTAGCAGGCTGGTGTTGAGAGAAATGTTGCCTGGTTATAAAACTGTTTTCTCCAACCTGAATTAGTTCATACTAACGTAACATTCACCTTCACTTACAAGGTTTGTGGATAAAACAAAGTTTGTTGACCTTATTATGTTGCCCTCTGTATACACTCGTTTTGTTAGCAGGCTGGTGTTGGGAGAAATGTTGCCTGGTTATAAAACTGTTTTCTCCAACCTGGATTAGTTCATACTAACGTAACATTCACCTTTATTTACAAGGTGGATAAAACAAAGTTTGCTGACCTTATTATGTTGCCCTCTGTATACACTCGTTTTGTTAGCAGGCTGGTTGGTGTTGGGAGAAATGTTGCCTGGTTGTGTAGAGTAACTCGGAACATCAAGCAGCTAAAGATGTCATTTTTTTATTGTCCACTTCGTTTTCGTCTTTAGTCGCTAAAATCTTGTGTTTGTCAAAGATATATTTTTGTAGTGACGAGAATGTAGAACCTCGTGTATTTTTAACTCAATATTAACACAGAATAACCTATATTGTGTTAAACAATTTAAATAACTAGAGGGATACTCAGTATAACGCATACCGCTGCCACGCAGCGTTGATCATATTCGGTCCTAAAAAATACGAAAAATGTATCCATATGTCTGTTGTTATCAACAGACACGAACCATTTTCAGCAGGACAATGAGGAATAATATTCTACGTGGGAAAAATCAGAAAATTATCAGAATTAAAATATCCTGAGTGGTCACAAGTAAATAGACACCTAATTTTTCGTCATTTAACTGATTTATGCTAACTAATTTGTGTTCACA